TATGGAGTCCAATAAATATCTAGGTAGAGAAGTCCAGTAGTCAACTGAATACAGTAACCTAATGTGCAGGAGAGGCCTGGCTGAAGAGTCATAAGTGAGGAAGTAAGCTGCATATAGGTCATAACTGAATCCTGAAAAATGTGACCACCCAATAAGAGTACAAAGTGCAAACAGTCCTCAACTAGACGCCTGTTAAGTACCACAATTATGCACTAGGCAAAGGAAAAAACAACTATGAGAGAGAAGTATCCAGAACACAATGGGAGAGGTCACCCAAAGGAGATGGTGATCAACAGTATAAAATGCAGCCGACATGTAAATCTAGGAAAAATAAGAACTGAAAAATGTTTCCTAGACTTAATGATCGGGTTCAAGACATGCTCCCAAAATATGGCATCCTGGCATTTGAGAAAAGAGCAGAAGCAGAAGGTCACTCTCACCTTCCTCTTGCCCTTCATCCTTGAGGCAGGTCATAAAACCTAGTCAGAATTTCTTTACCTTCCCTTGAAGCAGGTCATAAGATCCTCATTTGCAAGGTGCCCATCCTATACCCAGAGGAAAGAATCAAACTTATCCCTGAAGACACAGAGAAACAGAGGAGAATCTGAACAGGCCTTGCTAAGCTCTCCCTAGTTTATCATCATTACATTGCATCCCCTTTGTCCAAGTGTACTTCCCCACAACTATCCATCTCTTCATGAAAACTAAGCATAAAAACATACAAGTTTACGTGTTTCTTTGGATCTTCATTTCCAAAGGCTTCAGTATCATATAAAATTTATATTAAATGCATTTGTATGTTTTTCTCTTGTTAATCTTCTTTTTATTATAGGCGCCTTAGACATGAACCAAAGATGGGAAGAAAAGGTATTTATTTTCTCCTAATTAGTAATTAAGTGGACCCTGGAGAATTTATTAAAATTAGTTCCAATCAAGTAAATAAGGGCCGGGCTCGGTGGCTCAGCCTGTAATCCCGCGCCTTTGGGAGGCTGAGGTGAGTGGATTGCCTGAGCCCGCGGGTTCGAGACCCACCTGGGCAGCGAGACCTCATCTCTACAATAAATCAAAAAATCAGCCGGGCGTGGTAGCGCATGCCTGTAATTCCGGCTACTTGGAAGGCTGAGGCGGAAGGATCGCCAGAGCCCAGCAGGTCGAGGCTGCGGTGGCCGGAAGCGGCCACTGCACTCCAGTCTGGGTGACAGAGTGAGACTTCCACTCAAAAAAAAAAAAAAAAAAAAAAAAGTAAATAAGGAAGCTAGATTGAAGTGGGTTAAGCAGTAGAAACAATAAGTATATCCTATACCCACTTTTTAGTGGGGCTGTTTGTTTTTCTCCTTTCGGCATGTTCCCTGTAGATTCTGGATAGACACTTCTCAAAAGAAGAGATATGGACAACCAACAGATACATGAAAAGTGCTCAGCCTCACTAATCATCAGAGAAATGCAAATCAAAACCACACTGAGATACCACCTAACCCCAGTAAGAATGTCCACCATTAATAAAACAAACAACAACAGATGCAGGCGAGGATGCAGAGAAAAAGGGACCCTTCTACACTGCTGATGAGAATGCAAACTAGTGCAACCTCTTTGGAAAACAATTTGGCGACTCCTAAAAGAACTAAATATTGCCCTTCCATATGACACAGCAATCCCCCTACTGGGAATATACCCAGAGGAACTCAAATGATTCTACAAAAAAGATACCTGCACAGGCATGTTTATTGCAGCACTATTCACAATTGTAAAAACATGGAATCAACCATGCTGCTCATCGAAACTGGAATGGCAAAAAAAAAAAAAATGTGGTACATATACACAATGAAATATTACACAGCCATAAAGAAGAACAAATAGATGAACTTTGCGGCAACTTGGTTGAATTCAGAGTCTATCTACTCAGTGAACTATCACAGACACAAAGAACACAGCACCACATGTTCTTACTCAAAAGTGGATCCTGAACATTTACCACAATACTATAAGAAAGGGACTGGCAGTAGTGGGATACTGACGGTGGGGGGGGGGGGAGACACAACATCAATATGGGTACGAGGCAAAGTGGGGACCAATGGGAGGCACAAACTTTACCTATATGATGACCACTTGTATACCTAATCCTGAATTGTACCCATCTTTAAAATTAAAAAAAGAAACAATAAGTGTAAGACTATCTTTTTGAGAAACTTAAATCAGAAGGAAAAAATTCAAAATTTAATGAAACTAGAAAAGTCAGTCACTTCTAAAGTCTCTTACATTTCTCATACTGTATTTTTTTTCATGTGGAGAAAAAGCCTATTTTGGTAAAATTTCATTAAGACCCACAGAGATTAAATTTAAGGTAACATTTTTAATTATTATAAAAATAGGGGATTCAAAATGTAGCTATCGGGATATTGGTATACATAACATTTCCCAACATGTCTCAAAAATATTTTGCAACATAATCTTTAAAAATATACTGATGGGGCTAGGGCAAACGTAAAACTATTGGTGAAGTAATCCTCTCTTGCTCCAACTAATTCTTCTCTTATAATGCCTCATACAAACATTTTTTGTTACCCTTGGCCTGGAATAGTCTCTATTTTAATTCTTTTAACTCACTTTTCAAGAGCCTGCTCAAAGTTCACCTCACAGAATCACAGAATGTTGGGGACAAAAAGAGCTGTACAAATCCACTGAATTCAAGTGTTTCTACTGTGCTGATGAAGACATTAAATAAAGATCAGAGAGTCTCAGTGAACAACCTGTCCAAAGTCATATTACTCACAGCTTATGGCAAAGCAGAAATGTGAACCAGTTCTTCAACTACTGCCCATTTCACTAGTTTCATCATATCCTCAGGTTATTATTTACAGACTTTAAGAAGTCAAGCTTTAAGAATAATCAATTTACATCAGGTGTGGTGGCTCACACCTGTAATATCACACTTTGGGGGCCAAGGCTGGTGGATCGCTTGAGGCCAAGAATTCAAGAACAGTGTGGGCAACACAGCAAGACCCTCCTCTCTACAAAAGAGAAAAAAAAAAATTAGCCAGGCATGCAGTCCTAGCTACTGGGAGGCCAAGGCAGGAGGATCACCTGAGCCCAGGAGGTTGAGGCGGGAAGATCACTTGAGTCCAAGAGTTTAGAACCACAGTGAGTGATGATCGCACAACTGCATTCCATCCTGGGTGACAGAGTAGGACTTTTTCTCCAAAAACAAAAATAATTTAAAATAATTTATTTATTATAAGATCCATATTAATAATACTTCTGAAAACTAAGGAGCTGGGCAACAACTTTACATGTTAGTCTGCATCAACTACCTACAACTACTCAATTATTCAAGTAAAAATTACAGATGTCAAATAATATTTATTTCATGAACAAATAAGCTGACTGTCAGTCACTAAATAGGATCTCTCCCCAAGAGTGCAGCATTTATTTCAGCCTCTGCCAGTGCAAGTGTTGGAGCAGATGTTGGCAGACTGTGACATACAGTATGTCTTTAAAACTTGTTGGGGTGTGAAATTTCATAAGGTCAAAAAATGCTGCATTTTGATCAGCAGATACAGGAATTCTGTATTTTTATAAATTATTTCAGACAAACCAATAGCACTTGCTAGTAAAATGGACAAACTAAGGAACTACACTGGTTTAAGGAAGGGCATGATCCTATTTGCTACTTATATTTTAAAAGTTAATTTCTATCACTTTAAAGCAAATGTTCAACCAAAAGATCTCTCAAATGAAAATATGTTCATATGTCAATACAAAAAATAATTGACAATAGTACTTAAAAAATAATTTTCTACTGAAGAAATCCATTATTATCTAATGAGCATTTCAGTAGGAAAACAAATATTTTACTTTACTAATATGTGCCTATTATAGTGGTCTCATTTAAAAAATAAAATCCCTACATAAAAATCCACTAACATAAATAGAAAGGACTTTGATTTTTTAATTAGTATCCTTACCATTCAAATGCCTTCAAAAATTCTTTAACCCTCTGGTTTATTGTTTTATCTTTTCTTTAAAAAAAAATAAATACAGTATTCATTCTAACCTACTAAGAAGGGTTAAGCTGAACAAAACAATAGGGGTTAAAAGGACCAGGATGCTTACAATGACAAAATAAATTTTAAAAATATTCGGGACATTTATTTTCTTGACGTTTTATTGTTACTTAATTGCATTTTTTAGCTTCAATTTTGCCTCACATCTTTTCCAAATGTGGCCAATAGGTAACATACAACCAAAATCAAAACCAAGGATGTAGTCTAGCTAAAGATTTTATCTCAATGATATAGGCTAACTAGCTGTTACACTAGTTTAACTTCACATAACTTAAAATGCTATACATCTAAATTAACACAGAAAGACCCTCTCATTGATTAATCAGTGAATTTGAGCAGTCTGAAGAGCCTGGTCATAACATAAAAATAATAATCATTGTCATCTTTCAAGTTGTTTTGTGCTATGTTTAAGCAAACACAAAATTTCAAAATAAGTTATAAGCATTTTTGTAGCATATTTGTAAGGAAGAAAAATTTAACTACAAACACAAAATCTCCATAGGAAATTATATCCAATGTAAATCACTTGTTCCTCATCATAAAATCAATCAATAGAGCTAAAATTATTATAGGAAACTCTGATTAGAAATGCACTAAGTACTACAACATTTATAATCAAGTCCAATCTAGCAACCAAGTTCAAAGATCTTTGTTTTCATTTTATAAGTAAAAACTTGAGGTACATTTTGGGGAAATTGTATCTATCACATTTAAGTTCTAAATACAAAAATGTTAAATGATATTACATTGTATAAGACCACATATAATCGATAATCCCTATCCTAAGGAACTGAAATTCTACCAAAGCTAAAACATTTTCTGCTATTAAATATAAACCCAAACTTCTTCACAGGCTTCTCATATATTCTAAGATGTCTGACACATAAAATCATACAAATAAATAAATACAAGGTGAATCGACAATTATAATCAACTTACTTGCCACTGAAAAGTTGTTGAGGGGATAAGGTAAATCCACATCTTGAGGTTTCTCTTTATATCCTATGAATGAGCCATCTGTCTTCAAAAGGAAATATCTTGGCCTCCAGTTTTTTATATATTCTCCTACATGAGGAAAGCACACATGTTAATGCTGAAAAAAAATGAACAGCAGCTTTTATGTGAAAAATAAATTATGGTACAATATATGTCCTACAACACTGGCCTCCAAAAATTTACTTAGGCAATTTTCTTTTAACTTATCTTACAAAGGAAAATACATAAGCCTACAATTAAGATTCAATAAAAACCCAAACATGCTTTGTTTTTAATGATTTCACACTTTGATAATTCATTTACACCATTATTCCTTCAGAGAATCATTCATCTGAGTACACATTTTGTTCAGTTTTTCATTTTATCACATGGTTGTTAGAGCATATTTTCAGCTGTTTTTAAAAAGCCTTGGTTAACACACAATATCAATGAATTTCAATGAAAAACACTTATCCTAAAAGGGATATGAAATAGATGTATCTCGTCTATGTACCACTGACTGTGTCATTTTTTAAGAAGAAAAAAAGGCTATTTTCATTATTAAATTTCTACTACTACTTGTTTAAACATTTTACTGTTCTTAACAGAAAAATAACCTTTTGTACAAGTGCTGTAAATAAGTCAAGAAAATGAAAGAATATGGGTTATTAGAACTTAAACCATACACAAACTCACACATATAACAAACACAATTTCTGTTAAGAACACATACTACAGTGCCAAGCACATAATAGTCAATAGATGTATACTTTATTAGACTTTGATATAAGCTATCGCCTAGCCTCTAAAATACATGATTTTAGCAACCAGATTGCCATTTCCTTGCCTAAAAGTTAACTCTTCTTAATTTTAAGTAACAGAAGTGCTTCATGACATTACTAGACCTGGAACGCTCTCTGGTCTCATTTTTCATTTCAGTTCTCTACTGTATAGTTCTACCTTGTTAATAAATCTCAAATGCTTAGTAATAGAACTATAAAAAAATTGAAAACAGTTCTACTTTCCCTATCAATCAGCTTTCTCTTGACCCAAGGTGAAACCTAACATCTGACTACTCCCTCTCTTTAGCCTATCAGCAGCTAAGTAGGTCAGCACTGCCTTCACAGATCTCCCTGATGGAGCTTACCCTCAACTAGGTACTTAATACCTTACATCTGCCCTTCTATCAATGCTCCATGATTGTTTTCTCCTATTCCACTTACTCCTCCCTTCCACCCTAGTGTATCTATCACCCTAGATTTATCTTGTGTATGTGTACCACTTTGATATGATCACTTTTCTGCTAAATAATATTCTGTGACTCCTTACCATTTACTGTAAGTCCAAGTCTCTTACTATAAAAGTCAATCTCATCCCAACATATATTTCAGATGTAGAATCTTTCCTGTGAGTCAGCAATTCTCAAACCTCTTATCTCAGAATCTCTTTACTCCCTTAAATAGTACTGAGAACCCAACAAATTACTATTTATGTAGACCATACCTATAGTTTTTACTGTATTAGAAATAGAAAATAAGAAAATTTTTTTAAAATTTGCTTTCTTTACAAATAACAATAAAGGCCAGGCCCAGTAGCTCATGCCTATAATTCCAGCAATTTCAGAGGCTGAGGCAGGGGAATCACTTGAGCCCAGGAGTTTGAGACCAGCCTGGGCAAAAGGGTGAGACCCTGTCTCCACAAAACAAAAACAGAAAATAAACTCATTATATGTAACATAAATTACATATTTTATAAAAAATAACTATTTTCTAAAACAAAAAAAGAAAAGCAGTACTGCTCTACATTTTTGCAAATCTCTTTAATGTCTGGTTTAATAGAAGAGACAGCTGGATTCCCTCATCTAATCTTGCCTTCAAATTGTTGCAGTATGTCATTTTGGTTGAAATATAAGAAAAAGTCCCAGCTCAAACAGATAAATAGCTGAAAAAGGGAAAAATATTCAGAGAGTTATGGATATCCTTCTTTGATACTACTATACCATAACTCAACAACGGATAGTGTGAAAGGTAGCTGCAATGTGGAGTTTGAAACGTTATCATATATGAACTTTCTGTACTCGATTATGTGAAAATCTATTCATGCATACTGCACTATGAATGAATCTTTCATACGCTATGTGACTTTGTAACATTATATACTTATCATATGGAAAACACTCGTTCACCAAGTTATGCTGAACTTCCTAATGCTGATGTATTTCATTATACAATCACAATCGTTGTCACTGCCAGTCTCAAGAGAAAAGAAAGCACTGGGAAGCTAACACGCTCATGATGGCAGATATGTTTTCCAAAATTAAATTTTTGCTTAAAAGCTCGATTTTCATCGCCAGTAAATATTGTCAGTTTTTTCCTTGCAGTGATATACTTTACATGCCCAATCTAGTGCATACCACTTGATTGATGATCAAGCATATTAAATGAACAGAGAATATTTATATAAACACCTTCCCCACAAATGCAGGAAAAAAAAACTTGAAGAGACAAAGGGGAATAAAATCTGATGCTCCTTGCCACTCTGGTTTTCTGAAAAAATATGGCCCTAACATTAATGACTTAAAAAGCCAAATTTATGAAAGTTAGAAGTGGATCTCAAACTTTCAAAGACTCCTGGATCACTCTGTTTTCTTGTCATTTTTCATCTATAATATGAATGAGCTTTCCAAAAAGATGCTTAGAGTGCATTTATTAATTTGTTCTAGATGCTGGGGATACAATAGTGGAGAAGGGGGAAGGAAAAGGTCTCTAATTTAATAATGCTTATTTCAGTATTACACCAGATTTCAGGTGCCCCCTAAAACATATGGAGAAGGGTGCTAAATATTTCCTGAAAGAACTTTTTACAGGTTCTTAAAATTCTGAAGTAAAGTTCATGCAATAGCAAGCTGTGTTGGCCTAACTGAATATTCTTTTTCTAGTTCCAAAAGTGGAATTAAAAAGTTGTTTTACTTATAAAGGAATGAGTTTCACAGAAGACACAAACTCATAAGGCATGAATAAAACAAAAAGCAAGCTTTGTTGCCATTTATGATCACTCATAAGCAGACCCTGAACATTTACCATAATACTCTAAGAAAGGCATTGGCAGTAGCGGGATACTTCAAGGATGGGGATGGGTACACAACATCAGTAAGGGTACTTGATTCAAAACCAGGCAAAGTGGGGACCAAAGAGAGGCCCAACCTTTACCCGTACGATGTCCACTTGTATACCTAATCCTCACAGCTTTAAAATAAATAAATAAATAAATAAATAAATAAATAATCAACAACTAAAAACAGACCCAGTATGGAAATAGTAGAAGATTCCTAGCCCAAATAAGTGTAAAAAATTATAGCTTTTCCTGCCACCTTGACAGGACATTTTGTATGTTAATGGCGAAGTAAGGACAGAATTGTTCCTTCACCCTGGGGATTCCCAACTAGATCTTGTCTAGCTGGTCACAGAAAAGGAACTGAACATTTTCGTCACTAGTTTAGTAGTTGAGGCAGTGAGAGTTCAGACAAGGCACATGTTCTCAGGACATTCTAAAAACGTGGACAGAAACTCCTGGCTTTCACGGGGCTAAGTGCCCAGAACAAAGGTATTCACCCCGTCACCAACCTTTTAGATTGCTTAAAGTCAACAATGATCTTATATTTTAAACACAGAATCTGTACCTAAGTTTATACCTGATGTATTAAAACCAAATTGCATGGTACTTTTATATTTATGGCCTACAGGTTCCAACTAATTTAAAAGACAGCCTGGTTATAATGAAAAGTCTTATTTAAAAAAAGAAGCAGCAGCAGCAGCAGCCAGGCGCAGTGTCTCAAGCGTGAAATACCAGCACTTTGGGAGGCAGAGGTGAGAAGACTGCCTGAACTCAGGGGTTCGAGACCAGCCTGAGCAACATGGCGAGACCTCGTCTCTACAATACAATCAAAAATTAGCCAGGTATGGTGGCGCATGCCTGTGGTTCCAGCTACCTGGAAGGCTGAGGTGGAAGGATCACCTGAGCCCAGCAGGTAGAGGCTGCAGTGGCCGTGAGAGTGCTACTGCACTCCAGCCTGGGTAACAAAGTGAGACTCTGACTCAAAAAAAAATTTTTTTTTAAATTAAAATAAAAAGCAGCATGTATGGGGTACCAAATCTTCCACCAATACATCCAAAATCTGATAAACTCCGTAAGCACTGCAGTCTCAACTGGTGAAGATTTCCAATACAATCTCTTCCCAACTTTTTATCTACCTTAATGCGTGCTTCCACTTCTTTCTCATACTCTGGCTGAAGGCTTCATTTTGAAGTATGCTATAACTGACACCAAAACACATATATTTTGCAAAAGGCTTATGATATTTTGCTTCTGTAATGAGTAGAAGGATGGACCCTCAAACGCTGTCTTCACCCGAATCCCAGGAACCTGTAAGCATTCTTTTATGCAGAAAAATATTACTTTATATAGCAAAATACACAATTAATGATTAAGGTAAGGATTCTGAGAGGGGCTTCTAATGAATTATCTAGGTGAGCCCTAAATCCAATTACAAATGCCCTTATAAGAGTACACTGAACACAGAGAAAAAGAAGGAAGAATATGATCACAGAGGCAAAGACTAGAATAACGTATCAAAAGCCAGGGAATACCTAAAACTACCAGAAGCAAGAAGAGACAAGAAATGGATTCTCCCCTAGGAGCCTTCCAAGGGAGTGTGATCCTGCTGATCCCTTGATTTCTAACTTCTGGCTTCCAGAACTATGAGAGAATAAATTTGTTTTTTTAAGTCACACACTTTGTTACAATTTGTTAGAGTAGTTTCTAAGCATTATAACAAATGGCTTTCTTATAAAGTCAAAAAATACTACTGATTTATTAAGTTCTTGACATAGGAGGTGTACAGATTTATAGCTAATATCTCTGAATACAAAGGGAAACCTCTACATCTCTCCTGTAATTGGTAGAGAACCATATTTGTGAACTGTAGGTTTGGAAGAGACTCAATACTATATATAGTTCACAGTTGTACTTAGTTACAATATTTCAGATTCTGAACCTTTGCCAATCTTCTTACTTCACTTAATAGTT